TATTCTCTTCAGAACTTAATGTTGCCAGTGATTAGATTTTAGTCATTCTTAAACATATGTAGTAGGATATMATTTTTAATATGTAATTCTCAAACACATATCATAATACATATTTTTCTCATGCAAATTTTCCATCTATATATTTTCTTTGGCAAGAATTAAGAATTTCCTTTATTTTGTAATTTTGCTGGTTATTTTCTTATTGAGTTTAAAGGGTCATTTTTCAATTTAGATATTCATCCCTTTCAGAAATGTTTCACAAACATCATAAAATTTAAGAAGGAAAATATGACCAATAAGACAGCTAATATCATCCTTAATGGTGAGGAACTATATGATCTTCGTACTATAGTTCTTGTCTAGTTTTGATATTAGGGTAATTTTGGCCTCATAGAATGAGATGAAAAATGTTCCCCCTGATTCAATTTTTCTGGAAGACACTGTAGAGTATTGTGTCTTTTCTTCTTTCCATATTTTCTATAATTCATCAGTAAAACCATCTGACACTAAACCTTTTTTGCTTAGTATGGTTAATAATTGTTGGGTCAATTTCTTCAATAGATACAGGTGTATTCAGTTATATCTTACTATTTGAGTTTTGGTAGATGTATTATTAAAAATTCAGTACATATCATCCACATTATTAACATTGGGGGCATAGAATTGTTCCTAATATTAGCTTACAAGCCTTTCAATGACAGCATGATTGTAGTGATATCAATTTTCTTTTTTTTTCTTTGACGGGGGGACTAATGGTGATTGAACACAGGGGCATTTGACCCCTGAGCCACATTCCCAGCCCTATTCTGTATTTTATTTAGAGACAGGGTTTCCCYGAGTTTCTTTGCACCTCAGTTTTTCTGAGGCMGGCTTTGAACTCGTGATCATTTCTGTTATTAGTAATTTGCACCATATCTTTTATTCCCTAGCCTTACTAGAGGCATATTTATTTTGTTGTTCTCTTCAAAGAACTAAGTTTTGCTTATATATATATATATATATATATATATATATATATCAGAAAGTATATACATATTTATATTTTACTGATTTGTTGTATTTAATATAACTTCTGAATGGACATGCTATAGAATCATATTGGTCATGCGGTCACATATATACCTAAAGTAATAATGTCTGTTTCATTCTACTATCTTTCCTATCCTCACATCTCCTCCTCTTTCCTCCCATCACTTCCCTCTATCTAATCYAAGGTAATGCTATTCTTCTCTAGTCCCCCACCTCCCCATCAACTTATTGTGAATTAGCATCTGAATATTAGAGAAATCATTTGGCCTTTGGTTTTTGGGATTGGCTTATTTCACTTAGCATGATATTCTCCTACTCCATTCATTTACTGGGAAATGCCATAATTTTACTCTTCTTTAAAGCTGAGTAATATTCCTTTGAGCATATATACCACATTATCTTTATCCACTCATCTATTAAAGAACACCTAGGTTTGTTCTATAGTTTAGGTATTGTGAATTGAGCTGCACTGATGTGGCTGCATTACTGTTGTATGCTAATTTTAAGTCCCTTGGGTATAATTCAAGGAGTAGGATAGCTGGGACAATTGGTGGTTCCATTCCAAGTTTTATGAGGAATCTCTATAGTAATTTCCATAGTGGTTGTACCAATTTCCAGTCCCATCAGCAATGTATGAGTGTACCTTTTCCCTCACATCCTTGCCAACATTTATTGTTGTCTGTATTCTTGATGATTGCCATTCTAACAGGAGTGAGATGAAATCTTGGAGTAGTTTTGATTTGCATTTCTTTAATTGCTAGAGGTGTTGAACACTTTTTCATATATTTGTTGATTGATTGTATTTCTTCTTCTATGAAGTGTCTGTTCACTTTCTTAGCCCATTAATTGATTGGTTATTTGCTTTTGTGTGTGTGTGTGTGTGTGTGTGTGTGTGTATGTGTTTGAGTTCTTTATTTTTCCTAGAGATTAATGCTTTATCAGAGGTGCATGTGGTAAAGATTTTCTCCCAATCTGTAGGCTCTCTGCTCACATTATTGATTGTTTCCTTTGCTGAGAAGAAGCTTTTTAATTAGAGTCCATCCCATTTATTGATTCTTGATTTTACTTCTTGCACTGTAGGAGTCTTGTTAAAGAAGTCAGTTTCCAGACAGATGTAGTGAAGAATTGGGCCTAATTTTTTTCTATTAGGCACAGGGTTTCTGTTCTAGTTTCTAAGTCTTTGATACACTTTGAATTGTGCAGGGTGAGAGATCAAGGTTTAATTTCATTTTGCTACATATGGATTTCCAGTTTTTCCAGCACCATTTGTTGAATAGGCTATCTTTTTTCCAGTGAATGTTTTTGGCACCTTGTCTAGTATGATATAACTATTTATGTGGGTTTGTTTCTGTGTCCTCTATTCTATACCATTGGTCTACAAGTCTATTTTGGTGCCAATATCATGCTGTTTTTATTACTATAGCTCTGTAGTGTAGTTTAAGGTCTGGTATTGTGATGCCTCCTGCTTCACTTTTCTTGCTAAGGATTGTTTTAGGTTTTCTGGGTCTCTTATTTTTTCCAATAAATTTTATGATTGCTTTTTCTATTTCTATGATGAATGTCATTGGGATTTTAATAGGAATTGCATTAAATCTGTATAATACTTTTGGTAGTATGGCCATTTTTATAATATTAATTCTCCCTATCCAGGAGCTGAGAGATCTTTCCATCTTCTGGGGTTTTCTTCAATTTCTTTCTTTAATATTCTTAGTTTTCATTGTAGAGGTCTTTTACCTCTTTTGTTAAATTGAGTTCCAGGTATTTTATTTTTTTGAGGCTATTGTGAATGGGGTAGTTTTCCTAATTTCTCTGTCAGTGGATTCATCACTGATGTATAGGAATGTGCTTGATTTTGGGGTGTCGATTTTATATCCTGCTACTTTGCTGAATTTATTATTAGTTCCAGAAGTTTTCTTGTGGAATTTTTTTTTTGGATTTTCTAGATTCAGAATCATGGCATCAGCAAATAATGAAACTTTAAGTTCTTCTTTATCTATTTGTATCCCTTTAATTTCTTTCTTTTCCCTAATTGATCTGGCTGGATTTTCAAGTATGATGTTGAATAGAAGTGGTGAAAGATAACTCTGTAAATGACTTTTCATTTAAACAAAGAGTTAGTTTAGGTTTACTTTTAGTAATKGATAAACATGTTTCAATAACAGTAGAGTTAAACTTTGTATTTTCCCTTTCATTTAAAGTTTGTTGAGCTGAAACATAGGGAATTATAATCAGTTGAGCAATAGAGGATTTTTGGGTGGAGGTTGGAAAAATGGATTCCCCCTCCTTTTGCCCTGGGTTGGTAGGTTGTAATTTTTTTAAATACAGCAAAAGGTAACTGTTCATATTTTGGTTGGTTAGTAGAATTTACAGCTAACATATGAGACTACCCTTCCTCAACAGCTTGTCCCAAACACTCAATTAAGTCAACTCTAGCTGGGGGCAGGGTGGTTGCCAATAGCCAGCCACAGTGGTACTGGCAGTGAATTAGTTAAAAGAGTGTACTGGAGAGGCTCCAGAAGAGTTAGGGACAGCATGTTGCTGTTGGAGCTGCACTGATTTTAAAGAGGCCACATGTCTGGGCACAGAGGTAAAAGAGTAGGCAGATTGAGAAACAGAAGTCTTATCCATAGTGTCATGACAAAGAAACCAGGCTTGAAGCACAGGAACAGAAGATTGTGGCTCCTCATGAAACATTCTACCTATCTTTTCCAAATCTTTTAAATTTAGTAATGCACTTTTTGGATAAAAAGGACAGCAAGAGCTTATCTCTGTCAGCAAAACAGCAAGATCAGCATTATTGCGGTATGTCCAGCCTTGCTAACTAAGTAGGAGAAAAAGCTTGGCTCAATGATGTCGTTGAGGCATCAGAGAATTACCCATAGCTGACTGATTAGGGATCTGTGCCAGCAGATGAAAGACATGCATGAAAAGCCTTTTTCAGGCATAAGTAATCTACTCTCTTTCTCGGTTACCTGCCAATATCCAGAAAGGTCTCTATTAGAGCAGATTTTGTTGTCTCAAACTCTCTGTGGACTGGGAGGCTGTTTGGGGAGAGAACTCTTCTCATGCCCCWGTGTTGGTCACCAGTTGTAAGGAATAATAATAAGGGGAGACTCAGAGACAAGGAGCAGAGGCAGGAAAGTGGCTGTTTGTCCAAGCAACCATGTTTATTTATACCAATAGGTTACATTAGGTCATTTGTACCATAACTACATTATTGTTTAGAGTATTAGTAAGGTTACTTAGTCTGCAGTTTCATTTCAGTTTCAATACACAATGTCAGGAGCTTTGTGCAGCTCTTAAGAAAATCCATTGTCTAAAGTTACTGTTAAGCAGGCAGATCCAGGAGCACCAAAGCTTGGTGAAGCTTTGTAGTTATCTAGCAAGCAAGTTCCTTTATTCCCAGAAGTTATGTGCTAAGATCAAAGTCAAAACTGATAAAACTCTCAGAGCTTCCTCAAGAAAAACATTACTAGTGTGGCCAGGCATCCCATGTCTTTTACACAGAAGTTTCCCATYAGCCAGGCATTCTGTACCTTTGCACAGACATTTCCTAGCACCCAGGCATTCTGTGCCTATGAACAGAAACTTCCTAGCCACCAAGCATGCCACAATCATGCTTATGGCATGCTAATCAATTATTAGAGACCCCAATCCCAAACACAGAAGCCCTACACTAAATAGAATTTATGATTGTGATAATTTCATACACATACTAACAAGAATAAATTAATGAGTATTTTAGTTTTTGCAGCCACTTGATTTCTGTTACAATGTATTTATCTCTGCTGTTGTCATGTGAAAGCAGCCACAGATAACACATCAATAAATGGMATCTCTATTTCTATATCTCTCTCTACATATATCTATATCAATGTAAAGTTTTCACCTAATACAATCATCTATTTATCTTCCAGAGTTAATACTTCTTTGAAACAATACTTTACTTGAACTTGCATAAAATCACTACATTAAGGGACAACTGGACTCTCTGTTGTTTCCTGAGGAAGGCTTTCTCCACTTTTCTTAACCTCGGGTATGTCCTGGAAGGCCTTCTCCAGAACCGACTTGAGCGATGGTTGCTGCCGCCAAAGGTTTTGTCCCCGCCTACAGGAGCCAACAAATATGTAAATGATGGGTTTGGCGCTGCTGTTAATACAGGACAGAAATAAAGCAGTCCTCTTAGAAAAATGCAGAATCACATCATTATTATGAATCCACAATGACAGAAAACTTAGGATGCTTATAGGCAGGCCACAAATGAGGAAGACTAGAACTATGAGCCCAATAGTTACATACAGCCTGGTCAGTGGCACCCTCCGAGAACCACAGAGGATTCTGACTAGCAGAGTGAGGCTAGATATAGAAAGAACCATAAATAAAATTATCAGCCATGCAGCTATGATGAAACTAAATGTCTGACACCAATAGTTGAAATTTATAGATAAGAAGAAACAGTAGTACAAATCCAGGATGCTCAGTAGCAGGGACAGGGCCCAGAGTATGGCACATATGACAGCTGACGTGTGAATCAGGCGGTGGCAGCTGTACCAGATGGGACACAGGATGGACAGGCAGCRCTCAGCACTAATGGCACTCAACATGCTCAGGCCTGTAAGGTAGGAACAGATCATTACAATGGGTAAGTACTYGAGGATGAAGGTGAGAAAGAAAAGGAAAGTGAGGTTGAGTTTGTTCAGAGAAACTATAACATGAAAACAGAGAAAAAGGAAGTCGGCTCCYGCCAGGTTGAGGATGTAGACTGAGAGGGCGTTCTTATGCATGCGGAAGCCCAGAAGCCAGAGCACAACTGCATTTCCCACCAGCCCAATCTGTCCAATGATGAGGGTTGGCAAGCCCTCGATCGAGGTCCAAAAGTTGAAAGGTTGACGAAAAGTCCAGTTACTTCCGTTCACCATTGTGAATTCTGTCCCCTCGGCTGGGGTGGTTGGACTTATGCTCAGAACCCCTCCACTGGAGCTGCTAAGAACAAAAAGAAAGTCATGAGTTCCTGCTGCATAACCTCTGAGTCCCAGGACCACCCTGCTGTGTGGGAATTACTGTCCCTGTGTCACAGGGGAGGACACAGATGCTTGTAAAAATTATTTTAAAAAAGCCCAGGGGGTCTGGGGTCCTGGACTCAAACCCAGTTCATGTCGACTGTAAACGCTGTGCTGGCTGCTACTGCACGGGTTCATCTACTGACAGGAATATTCTATGGTCCAATCATGCACATGGACCCCCTCCTGTTCCTGCCAGAGTTTATGCCAWGTCTCCAGAATTTCTTGAGGAAGGAAAAGTCTGGGATAGGATCTGAGATACCAGGAAAGAACTGTGGACAAAGGCATTAGCCTCTCCTGGGCCAGAGTTTTTCTCTCAGGTTCAGAATTTTTAAGAGGCAAAGATGATTCCAGACCATACTCACAAGTAAAAATGTTGTATATAGGAGAACAAAGACTGCTTTGGGGACCTGATATGAATGAGACCTCTTGGTAGGGCAGGTATGAGGGTGATTGGGCCTGGTAGGCTAGAAATGGCTAAGTGTGTCATGGAAATGTCTCAGTGTGTCAGCCACAGAGGACAGCCACACTATGTTTATCCCTTTGTCGAGATTTGGTGCTACACACTGTATTCTCAGTGGTTATTCAGTGAATGGATGCATGAATAAGGAGACTAATGGTAGCAGAAGACTTGGGTTAAATAGAAAAATAAAAATGAAATACAATTAAATGAATTAGAACATTCAGGTAAAATTAGGTGAAGAAAATTTAATTCATCATTATTCTTTTTGTGGACAACTGAGTGTGTTTAGAAGACTTACTTATGTCTATCCAAATAACTGCAATGGAAACTGATGGGCCACAAAAGCAAGTAACAAAAATGGCTTTGCTGGGTACTTTGTAACAATTTGGTACAGAATATGGGGTTAGGATGTGAGTTTGAACTGAATTGCCCAGCAGTTTGTAGGACAGAGAAATAAGAGATAAGTTCTGAGTGCTAAAAAGGTTTTTGAAATATGAAAACATCTAAAGTAAAGCTATTAAGTGATGTGCTGTAAAGTGTATAGTATAAATATTTTCCATTTTCTCTCCCAATAGAGTTTGTTTTGCAGGTAGAAGTTTGTGTGAGGGTAATCTATGAGGAGAAGTAAAAAGTTAAGGGGTTGGAATGAAAAGAGATGCTTGTATATATTTTAACTAGGGAAAGTGAACTAGCTCATAGCTGGGTGAATGATAATAGACAATGGAGAATTTATAAAGTATTCTCTCTTTGAATTCCTTTAGAGACCTCCGAGGAGAAAATTTGTATTATTTCTATTATACAGAGAATAAAATTAGATCACAGAAAAGATGAATGCGTTCTCCTGGTCTAACACTGTGGATGAACTCAGGAGTGCTGCCTCAGGGCCCACTCTTTGTCCCTGCTGACCCAGCACCACAGAACTGGTGATTACATCTACATAGGTGTGGGGCAGCAGACGAATAATGCCCAAGTTAAATCCAAGTTGGTTGTCAAAATTGTGTATTTCAGAAAGTCTAGTATAAACAAACTTCAGAAATTAGAGGAAAGGAAGCAAGTGAAATAAGGCAATAATGAGGTGCTTTGGAAGCCAGTCAGGAACAGATGAGAATATAGAAGCTCTCCCCTGTTTTGCAAGGGAAGCCAGGTCTTGCAGGCCAGAGAACTCACATGGACCCTCAAGTGAGAAAAAGAACACATCCTTCTCTGGTGTGCAGAGAGGCATCAAAAGTGAATGCATCCAACATGAGGTCTTGTAGATATAAAATCTCCCACAACTTTGGTTGACCAGAAGGGGATATGGGAGGAAATCTACAACCTCTGTTATCCTCACTCTGGGAACCTCAGTTGGTACATGTGGGAGTTTCTTCCAGGAGACTAAAGGGCAAGAAGAGAGGGATTTGAATGTTTCAACTCCTGGCTCTCTGCCTGTGAGGTTGTGAGTTGCAATGACAGTGCTTTTCCTCCTACTTGGTTGTCCCCTGCTACTGCTACAACTAGTTGTTGTTCTTTCTCTCTCTCTCTCTTGTCTGTATAATGCTTTATTATTGCTCTCCTTAAGCTACTTTACCATATCATGTAAATTTTTCTTAACTTTACCTTTGTAAACAGTCAACTAAAGAAATACTCAATTACTTCATTTTGGGGTTGCCTTTTTTCTTCTTAAATATGCAAAGAAKAACAATGTTGAAAAGCAAGTAACATAATGAAAACCTTGGAGCTGGGTGTCCTGGCACACGTCTATAATCCCAGTGCTCAGGAGGCTGAGGCGGGAGGATTGCGGGTTCAAAGCCAGCCTCAGCAAAAGCAAGAAGCTAAGCAACTCAATGAAACCATCTCTACATAAAATACAAAATAGGGCTGTTGATGCGGCTTAGTGGTCGAGTGCCCCTGAGTTCATTCCCCAGTACCCCTCACCCCCTAAAAAATAAACAAAATAAAATCTGGGTTTATGGCAGCTAAGCTCTGGGATGTAATTCCTGCATGTAACTGTGGTCCGCAAATGAATGTAAGTAGCAGTGTTCTCCCTATGATAATAGATTTGAATGTCCAGAATAAAGGGGAGAATATGGGGGGATGGATCATAAGGGAAAATGGTCTGAAGAAGCCCTCTGAGTACATTCACTGTCAAGGATGCCAGCACCCAGTGTTCACAAAAAGRCATCATCTCTTCGATCTTTCCCTGAAGGAAGCCCATGACCCCCTGCTTGTAGCATCACAAGGTAGAAACATAGAGATATGAACTCAGTACAAAATATTAGCAATCACTGGAAACAGGAAAGCATTTAGAATATATCCTTACCTTTCTTCATTCTCTATCCACAGGAGGGGAGCTGATCTGTGCTAAGTGGAGAGTTTTTCTCAGATTAAGGGACACCAGAGAACCCTTCTCTGTCTTCTAAATCAGGAGATGCATACAGGAGCTAGAGGAAAAGGCAGTGAATAAGAAAAGCTATCAAGATGCTAAACAGCCCTTCCTTTGATTTTCTGCAAAGGATTGTGGGCAAATGAGGAACCAGAACAGTTTAAGATGTGACCCACAGAGAAATCTTTCTGGGCATCTTCCCAATTGCCACTCATGTTCAGCCTCTCCCTTCCCACCTTCTCTTATTTACCTCTAAGTAACTGCTATTGTGGYCCTTTAATTTCCGACTGTGAAAAACAATTCAATGACAATTAGGTAGAGAAGACTCTAGGAAGCAGAGAAGGAGATTTGAGGGATAGTGTCATTTGCCAAAATAATTTTCCTTTCTTCCTTCTCTGTTTGGTTTGGCATATCAAGAGGAAGGTGTCTGTGACACTTATGAGTCACTTATTTTCATTCAACTTTCTGGTTGAACAGAGTCACAAGAATACACCTCCCAGGAGAGCAGAGGACAGGAGGARAGGAACTTGGGTTTTACACCTCCTGGCTCTCTGTCTGAGTCTGTGTTGGCAGAGACAGTGCCTCTCCATCTTTTTGCTCATTTTCTCCCACCTCTGCAACTGCCCTGTCTCCTCAGTGTTCCTTCCCTTGTTCTTTCCCTGTTTCACCATGCACTTGTCACTTTTCCTTAACCTGCCCATCTTTGTAAATACTTCTATCATGACGTGCTCTTAAAAAATTCCAATATGTGTCAACAGTTTCTACTTGGGATAGTAAAAACAAATAACTTTATAAAGCAAATGAAATGCGAGACCTGGGTCTTCAGCAGTTCAGCTCTGGGATAATATGCCTGCATATCAAAAAATGAATGCAAGACAGCAGATTTGAATGATTGGAATAAAGGACAGGATATGGGGAGATGGATCAGAAGGGAGAATGGTCTGGTTGATCCCTTTGGTAACTCCCAGTTTTGAGGCTGCCAGCACCCAGTTTTCAGAGGGAGGCTTCTGTCTCTTGTATTTTCTTAAGGAATCAGCATGACTTCCTGCATGTAGCACCCCAAAGTAGAAACACAGGGATGCGAACAGAGACTGAAGACTGTAACTGGAAGTAAGAAAATTCTTGGTGTGTCTTCCATGCCTTCCCTCCACGCTTTTGTTTGGAGGTAAAGAATTGTTCAGTTTTGAGGGAGAAGATCCTTTCTGACTTTGAAAAATGCCAGAGGACCCTTGCTTGTCCTCAATTTGTGAAATGTCTTCAGGGAAAATGGAGTGAAACCTGGTGGCCATGGGAACCTATCAAGTTACTGGACCACCCAGTGATTTCCTGTACAGGACTTCAAGAACCTCAGAGATCCAAGCTGTTGACACAATTCYACCCCGAGGTGTTTCTTGGCATCTACCCCATTTTCACTCACAGTTCACCATCTCCGAATCCACCTCATATTCAGTACTTTTATTCTGGAGCCTTTATTTTCCATTTAGCATTGTTAGTAATTARTATAAGTAATCCCTGCAAGTAATGGTATTTTGGAGCCTAGATAGGAATATCAAGCAATGTAAGTTTTCATTATGGGGCTTTCTAACAAATAATAAAGTACAATATAAGGCCATTCAAGGATGGCTTTTCTTTTATTTCTTTCATGTTTTCTTGACACAGCAGTAATGCATCCATATGCACACTTTCACTCCAGATGGCAGAGAAGGGACTAAGGGACTACATGATAAATTTCTTCTGCCATCTCCATCTATCCTCATCCAATTTTCCCCTTGACTCCTCAAAGAGATGATTGGACTTATAATAGGGTACTTGCATGGTAAGTTGGAGTCATCTGTTCAAATTCCAGTTATTTGAAGGAGCTTTATCTTCTCAGAGCTGCATGTACACTACTCCCTTTTCTGTGTTTGTCAATATTATCAATATGAAAGACATATGTAAGAGGATCTT